TCCCAGTTAGTCTACCCTCTCGATCACTATACCTTCCCGTTAGGGGCGGATCCACACTTAGCGAAGCGGTGTCATGCGACAGCGCTTCGTTGAATTTTTTTATTAATTATATCTTTTTATATTGTGAAAAAATAGATAAGTAGGAAAAAGTGACACTACTTAACATAAATTATCTCTTGGTTTGTTGGTTTTGTACTTAATTTTGCTCTAAGAGCTCAAAGGTTCAAACCTCAACTTTGCAAATATTTGAGAGAGCCTCTGTGTTTAAAAATAGTGATGAAGTAGAATTGAACTCATGACCTTTTCTGCTTAAAATTCAACAAAACCAATAAACTAAGATTATTTCTTGTTTAGAAGTGTGATAATTAACACTATTATTCCCGTTCTTCTATAAATTTTGACACCACTTACAAAAATTCGTGTCGTACGCCCCCTGCTTCCCGTCATCTTCTATCTTTACACAATAAGCCGTGTGATGTAACTTGAAAATTATCGATTCTCAAGTTGAAGTTTAAGATGACACAAACAAAGAATTGCTAACAAAGAGTCAACTGATTGCTTTTCTTTGAGGTAGGTATATGTTATCTTTTTCGCTTCAATCTTTTTGATTTTGGGGTTTCTTTTTTTCTTTTTTCTTTTTTTTCTGTTTGATAGAATTGATTCTTTCAATTTTTGCTGTTTCGTTTGGTATTTGGATGAGATCATGTTGCATGTTTTGTTTTAATTCTGATGGATTTTCTGATTTTTCTTCTGATGGATTCCTGCAAGTCTTCGTCTTTTCTTCTAACTTCATCCCTTCTACCAGCCTCAGTGCTGATACTTATTGATGGACTTTATGGGTCATCTGCACTTACTGCTTGTTATGTATGTTGGAATGTCACACTGTGGGCATCCGCTTATCTAATTAATGGCAAGCATTATCTTTTTAATCTGCAATAGTTTTATATTTTTATTGTTATGATGACCTCGATGACAAGTAAATATTTTATCAGGATAAAAGATTAGCCACTTAATATTGGTGAAGTTTTAAGATATTTTTTGGTTTTCTATTCAAATATTTTTTTTGGGTGTCAGAGAAAATGGGGGGAAGGCATCATGACTGGAAAAAGATTATGAAATATCAAGGGAAGAATGGTTCATGTTCAGTTCACCATCTTTTACAACTGCTTCTCTTATTCCCTTTACGGTTTTAATTGCCTCGATTACCTTCGCCGTGCATGGGAGAAGTTCGTGAATGCCGGTAACATTGTGCAAATTTATTTATGTCGTGAGTGTTATTATGGTATGCTGAAGTAACTTGTATAATGTCCATCAAAAAGTAACTTGTATAATGTCTATCGATCTTTTAGTTCTAGCTGTCTATCCAATAAATATAAGCACGCCTTTGTATGGTCGATAACCTCAAAAAATTGGGAATTGACCCTTTTTATGAGGAAAAACAGAATATATTGGATGACCAATTACTGATATAATTTTGCTTTTTGGGGAAAAAAAATTAGTCCCTCTTAGATTGACTCAAACTAAGCCTATACATTTGTAAGTTTTTATTTTTGCAGGTGATGAAATTTGGCACAAAAAATAAGAATGTTGGCTAAAGAGAAGGAAGAAATCAACACAAATGCTTTCACTTGTGCCACAAAATTCTGGTATTGTGTAAATATGGATACAATATCTCCTCTGGTCTCTCACTGACTTGTAATCACATTATCATTTTTTCTTATAATATTTTTGGTGTTCAAATAGTACTGTTGCCAAGTTAGTTGTGCATTATAGATCCGATAGTTCAATTTCTGGAGCAACATTAATATATTGGACATTTGAAGGACTTGTATACTATGTTGGATATGTATCAAGTATTAGAAATGATTATTGCTACAAAACAACCTATTTTAAAGAGTTCACTTATCATTCTTACATTTTTTGAGGTAGTGACTGTCAAATTATTTTCATCTTCCAGACAGACGCACTAGACACCAGACATATTCATGAACATGTATTTGCCTTAAGTTGCATTTTCATCAGCTCAGATTATTCTTACTCTCATTGAGGTAGGGGGAATGGCTACGGGTGCTTATTTCTAGGTAGATCATGGATAATGTTCTTAAGTTTCCTCTCATGCGAACTTAGAATGGATAGGCAACAGGAAAAATGTAAAGCACTATGATGAAGATAATACAAAGTCCTAATACCTTTAAATTGGTAACGTCTCTAAATATATGTTCGTAAGAACTGATCTCATGTGCTTTCTTTTTTATTATCATGTGGCCCATTTTGTCAATCTCCTTCCATCCTTTTTATGTGGCAGGGCATCAAATTTTGACAATTAAGGTTCTTTAACCTTGGTGGTAAACTTTAAGTTTGGCCAATCTACTGACTACATAGAATTAAAATAACTTGAGCGTTAGTATATATCTTTTCCAACCCAAATAATCATTCTGGAACCAGATATCCTTCAGTTCCTTTTATGATAGTTAGATAAGAGATGATATTTACATAGAGAAAACTGAAAAAACTTAGGCCATATATTACTAATTCCAGATGTTGTATCTTTTACTTTGAAAACTTTTTCGCTTCACCAACTTTTGTACATGACAAAAAAGGGAATTGATTTTTACTCATGTTCCACCTTTGGCTCATAAATTTCTGGTTCTATTTTCCTTATTACTTGCCAACAAATTGGTCTATTTGTCAGACTTAAATGCATGTGGTAATAGGTGGTTAACTCAAAATAGATTGGACAAACTTGCTACAGCCATATTTTTTTATCAAGAAGCCCGAACCAAATGATGGCGTCCTCCGAAAGGCCTTCACGTTCACTAGATCAGATGGGTGCACTAGCGTATTATTTTTTTCTAAAACAAAAAAAAAAAAATCATGATCTTTGGCATGCCACTACAAACTTCGATAGAAGGTGCTAGATTCTTTGATAGTTATTCTAGGATTTCCTGCAGCTTTGATGAACTTTTTAACTGATTCTGCACATGCATATCTCTATTGACTATTTTCTGTCAATTCAATGAGTATTTAGAAGAACTCATTCAGTGTACCTAAAGTTTTTGGAATAGAAAGCCTCCACAGGTTAGCATTATTGCACACATATTCTGCAATTTTCTTTAATCGTTCACTACTTTTGTTCTGCACTAGCGTTGGTAAAATAAGTTACTTCTAGATTTTCTTAAATAGTAGCAGCAAGGAAGATCATTCTAATGTTGAAGACTTACCTATATCACATTAAAAAATAGATCATTTGAGGATGATGCGGATGATTGATAACCAGACAATAGTCATATTTAGCAACATGCACGTGAGATAGCTATTATGCTTATATAGTACTATTGGTAAAAATTATGCTCTCTTGGTAAAAGTGCTACAATTGGTATTTGATATTAAATATAGGTGGATACAGAAGTTCTGAATCTGAGGATTACAACATGCACATGAAATAGAAGTTCCGCCAAGAATTGTTGATGGAGAGGCATGAGTAATTTATTGAGAGCTAACAAGAAGTATTTGACATGAGTAACATACTTGAATATAAATTCTTACTCCCTGGCTTCACTTCTGGATCTTTAGTACCTTTGGGACCTTACAGAGTCCCAACGTTTGAATATTTAGAGGATGTGTGACCATATAAAGTATATATTGTCATTAACAGGTATTGTGGGGGGGATTTTTGGCCATAGTTTCTTTGCGCATTATTTGTCATTTTGATTTCGTTTGTTTGATTCCAAAAGACAGAGGGAGCGCTGCCAATTTTTATCCTTAAACAAATATTTTCTTATTTTATAATCTTGTAGCTATGGTACAGACACTACAGTACTACAGTGGTCGAAGATTTATTTGGTATTGGAGGTTCTATGGAAGAACTGTATATTTTAATTCAGTTGTTTAAGATGCAGTGCTTCCATTCGTATTCTCTTTCTTTTTAATATTCCTTGCTATTTTAGCATCGCCTTATTCAAATTGCTTGGCCTTATATTCCTCGGAGTCTAATTATGTGGTTATTTATCATGTAAATATTGTATCATAAAAGCAACTGGTTGTTACTTTCATTTGTTGGAAACGTTAATCTGTTTTCGAACTTTCAATTTGAGTGTTCTTAAATGATATGCTTTCCTGGTGTTGAACCTTTTTCTGTAATCATGTGGCTGTTTTTATGATCTTTTTCAAAGGTTTATGATGTTTGCGAATAAGAAAAATAATGTTGGGTATACGTGCACAGCCAGTGGCGGACTCAGGATTTTGAAGTTCAACAGTTTTAAAAAAGTTGGGCATATATAAACCTATTCATTTCTATTTTTAACGTTTTATTAATTTAACTTAACACATTTAACAATTTTTCAAATTTTAAAAATCGATTTATGCACTTTATAAACTTATTAGCTGTAATATATCTAAAAAAATATAGAACTTTTTTTTTTATATATATAAATAAGAAGTAGTTATTTGCAAGCAGACGACATGAAAATGATATATAAAATTACTAATAAAGAAAGGAAGAGAGCTAAACACCAAACCAAAAAAGTTGATATAAAATAGATAAATAATTTCAACTTAAAACTAAATTAAATTAAACTTACAAGTAATTTCAACAAATATACTTGCATGTTTTAGTGATTTATAACAAACTGATAACCAAAATTAACTTTGTTGAAAGGCTTAATTTGCGAAATAGAATAACTATAGAATCATTTTCATTGAATTCAAGTAAAGAAACATGTTGAAAAAATAAGAATTAAAGAAACTTAAAGTGAAATAAGAAATATGACAAATAGAAGCCTAAGCTAATAAATCTAGAAGACAAGCTTCCAATGGGAACAGTTCGCAAAACTTAAATTGGGAGAGGCACATGACCACCCGACGAGGGAGATGACTTGTAACAAGTGGGTTCAAATAATTATTTTATACAAGTGTTTCACTGGTTTTAGATATAATTACCAATATATATAGTGTAGTTTTTTGAAGAAGCGGGTTCACTTGAACCCACTTAATACCACGTGGGTCCGCCCCTATGCACATTACGGCCACCACCCATCTAGTATGATCATAATTCAAAAAGCTTCATTTCATTCAATAATCTAGAAAGGCTTAAAATCTTCATTTCCAAAACCTTGGTCGTCTCGCTCAATCATAAAGGGAACCGACATGAACAACAACCGTTAATGTGGCATTGCAGCCAAAGAATAGTAATTGCATCAAACTGTGCTTTTTCTCCTTTAAAATATGTGATTTGTCATATTGCTTGTCTTTTCTATTTATCAGTTGTGCGTCTCTTATTGGTCTTTTGCCAAATAGTTTCAGAACAATATTTGTAAGTTGTAACGATCATTTGTTCACTTGGATTATCATGGCGCACTCCACTTCCAGACATATCATATGTAGGGCTGTGCATTTGGATCGGATATCCGAAATCCGATCCGATCCACTCTATTTTGGATTTTGGAATTTCGGATTTTGGATTTTCGGATTGGATACGGATTGTGTTTTATAAAATTTCGGATTTTCGGATTGGATTCGGATTGGTATGATCTAAATCCGATCCGATCCGAAATCCGAAACTACATGTACCTATATAAATACTACACTAAAATTTTAGGGTTACGCTTATTCATTTTTTTCACACCCCCTCACTCACTTAGATTTTTCCGCCTCTCTTCTCTTCAGTGAAGGCTGAAGAGTCTCAAAGACTCAAAGTTTCAAACTTCTGATTTTACTTTGATTTTTATGTCTCTTTCTTCCGCCTCTCTTCCCTTCTCTTATGTCTTTTATGTCTCTTTCATGTTCTATTTTTCAACTTTTGATTTTACTTTATTTTTTTTTTTTTTTTGGTAGATGGAAGATGAGACAGAGACACCGAATAAATTTCAAATTGTTGAAAATTTTGGTGAAAGAGATGCTTCAACTGATTCCACAACCAACAACAGTGAATCTCAATATGATTGTATGGTGTTTTAGGAGATGAATGGTGTTTATTCACTCAATTTTTTTGATTATGATTGAATGGTGCTTTAGGAGATGAATGGTTTTTTCTGATTGAATGGTGTTTTAGGAGATGAATGGTCCTAAGTCCTAACCTGCAATTTTGTGACAATCCGATCCGACAATCCGAAAAATTATCCGATCCAAAGTTTAAAATCCGATCCGATCCAATGTTAATTCGGATTGGATTCGGATTGCCCTTTTCAGAATCCGAAATCCGAAATCCGAATCCGAAATATGCTAAATCCGATCCAATCCGATCCGTGCACAACCCTAATCATATGTGTCAATTTATACCGTCAGTTCTTAGCGCAGATGCAGAACTTTTAATGTGAGAGAACTAAATACATATTAAAAATGTTCACTTTCCTCTACTTCGTCAATACTATATGTCCCTCCAGTTTCTAGTTTCTTAAGGACGTTTGGAAGTTGCGATTGTAAGACCTCGGATAGTGACAATTACCACAAGTTCAATACAGAATATGTTACGAATATTGAATTTTAGAGGAAGAAGAATCTAACTAAAGCTAAGCTAAGCTAAGAAGAGAAGAAAATAATGCAATAAGATAAAAGGATTTTTCATTCCCCTTCAAAATGAGCTACTGCTCAGTACATATAGCTCTAGACGTGAGCAAAAGACCTAAGGGCTAAAAGGAAATAAGGAAAACTTACAAGGGGTATAAAATAATAAGGCAATCTAGCTAAATGGACTCAAATGTAAGATATAAAACTTGTTAACTAATCAGCCGACCCGTCTCACTAACTTCACAGTATAACTTTGCAAGCCCATTGTACAAGCTCCAATAGTAGCTCCAACCTCTTCCATTTTAAATCGTATCAGTTCTCCCCCCTTAAGAACTTCCTTGTCCTCAAGGAAGTAGAGATAGAAAATCATACTCTCGAAGCATTTACATAGTAGATCCTCCTCCTTTGTTAACATTAGTGTTCTTCCAGAAGTCGACACACATCCATCAAGGCATAAAACAATCTCAGTATGCTCTGCCACCATGTAGGAGCAGGACAGGAAAGCAAAATTATCCCATCGCACAAGCTCAATACTTGTCGCAACAACTAGTAACTGTTCATCATTGAACAGAATATGGGAATGAGATTTCATATCTGCAGTCTCTTTATTGTACCATAAAATTATTTCCTTTGGAACTAAGGTAACAACTGAAGCAAGTGCAACAACTAAGGCCACTACTTCCAAGCCTAGTTCTGAGAGTTTAACAATTGGTGATTGTGACTTTCTTGTGGAATCCTTTCTACGTGAAGCTTCAGGCCTCAAACCACAACTACACAGCTTAGATTTCTCATTGACCATGTCCATCACTGTAACACTTACTTGAGTTGCAGAAACAAGAAATATTGCTAAAAGCATCAATACCACATGAGGCACATTGTACTCCCAACATATTCTGTGTACATCAAGAGCTTCAAAATGTATCCTGTAGGTCATAACATGGTGCAAATCTTCTTGAGAACCAGTGCATCTTTTAAACACAATGAGGAGATCATGGCATCTAAAGAGCCAGCTGAGAGAAATTATCAAGTGTTGCATAGAACAAGGTGAGCTACTGAAGAAACTCACAGGAAGACTACTCAACAATTGTTTTAGCATCATCTGCTTCATATTTCCCCAAATAGACAACTTCATCTTAGGGAACATTAAGAAAGCCTTTGGACATCTGCTTCTCCAACTAGGATCTGGACCAATTGGATAAACATCTTTGTATTTCACCAAAACAACCGAGATTCCAACATTGCAAAAAACATCTAGACAATGGTACACACTACTTTCTTTCCCAATGCCATAAACCAAAAATCTCGACCCAATAATTTTAGGATCTAAGAGAACCCCCAATGGGCTCGATTCCAATATTTTCCACCCATGAACTGACAGAACAAGACTGCTACAAGCAGCCTGAATGACTCGAAGGACCACATCAGTAAGAGGGGACAATGGACTATTCAGATTGTTAGAGTCCCCTTTACCATAACTTGTGTCAACAATCCTAGATGTGTACCTTCTGTAATTTTTCTTACAATTCTCCTGCCATGACCTTTTATAGATGTAGCACTTGTGAGCAAAATAATACAAAACAAAACCATGTTTTGCACCATAGTTAAATTCATTGATGTAATAGCTCCCCTGACAGCAACTCCGAACTCCAATGCCATGATTCTGCCAATTATACCTCCCCTTGAAGCCACCCTTGTCCTCAAGGGTGATATGTAAAAATGAATAAATGACCACACCTGGATTAAATGGGATCTCAGAGAAGTCTCCAATTATAAGATTCTTTCCTAACACTAAAAGAACTTTAATGGAAATAGTTGGCAACTCTCCTCCTAAAGGAAATTGCTTCAAGTGTTGGTCAACAGAGCAATATTGACTAACGTGTGCACCACTACCCTTCCACTGCATCTCAATGTCAAATGAGGGGCAAGGTAATTGGAACGCTAATTTCAACAACCCGACAAGTAAGTTCCACTCCTTAATTTCAGCATCGCCAACAAATCCAAAAGAATGTGACTTCGTATGTGGCCATTCCCATATTGCACTTTGTTCAAAGAGCAATTCAAAATAATGCTCATTAACTGCAACTATCCCTGGGTCGATATAGTAAAACTCAAATCCGCCTATTTGTCTTAGCTGCTCATGCGACATAGGACCAAGGACTAATATTTTATTTAGCCACCTCAATAATGCAGAGTTAAAGTGTTTCTCCACCTCTTGTGCAATCATTTCACAAAACTTCTTTAAGAGTTTCACAATAATCAGTCCAACAAGCCTCATTTCCATGGGTTGAATTAAAGCTCGATCAAGAACTTCAAGACAGAAAAATGAAATTCCGAATTGCCTGACATACTCTCTACATATTTCAATAGTCTTCTCAATTTCAGATCTAAAATTAGCTTTATCCCACTCTTCATTGCACACATGAGTTTCTTGAGTTGAACAATTACTCTCTTTCAATAATCAGTCCAACAAGCCTCATTTCCATGGGTTGAATTAAAGCTCGATCAAGAACTTCAAGACAGAAAAATGAAATTCCGAATTGTCTGACATACTCTCTACATATTTCAATAGTCTTCTCAATTTCAGATTTAAAATTAGCTTTATCCCACTCTTCATTGCACACATGAGTTTCTTGAGTTGAACAATTACTCTCTTTCAACTGTTTGGCTTTGTCTAGTGTGCTGCTATGACCTTCCTCAGCAAACTTGGTGCTTCTGTATGTCCTCCAGATATCACCATTGACAGCACGAGAATTTTGATAATCCTGGTGACATTTCAACAGATCCTCAGTAAGATGCAAAGTTCCATCTTTAGTGCTGAGTGGTTTGTGCTTCGGAGTTAAAATTGCTAATGATGAAGTGTCAGCCATGTTGACTTTGACACTGTAACTACTGTTAAGTGGACTCACTATTGGCTCCAACAACGTCTCAAGAACAGCACAATCCATCCCATTCAGAGGTTTGACTCCTCTCGAGCTTTCTTCCTCCGAGAAAATATCTGGCATACCCACAACCTTTGATATTTGTTCGGTGTCTGGCCTGGTCGTCTTCTCTAGTTGTCCACTCTCTATCAGATTTCAGAGGTGGAAACAATTTTGTCAAAAGGACTAGCTACCTCCATTCTAGCTTGAACAATTGAAACGCCTGCTCGTATCATTGCTTCATTTTTCAGTCGATCATCAGAGAGAGAAGCCGAATTGTCTAAAGGTGCCACTACTTCACTAATTGGCCTTTCATCAAACACCTTGTGCTCAAGAGAGAAGTGTTGTTCCTCTTTCGATTGCTCAAACTCTACCAAACCGAACTCCGTAGGGATAACCTCCGCAGCCTCGTGATAAGAGAAAAGACCAGTTGAAAATCCTGTGGTAGAAGGAAGTAGGGTAGAATTGTCTGCAACCCCACCATGGAAACCAACTCCAACGTAATATGGACTTAACTGGAATTTGTACCGTTATAATGGTGCTCCTCCTGATAAGAGCCACCACCGTAATACTCGATGCCGCCGTAGGAGTTTGGATATGCGTTGTAGTACTGATAAGCGTATGGATCCACACCAAACTTGACACCGTGGGAGTATGGATTACGAGTGAGATGATTACTGTAATACTGATGAGAATTACACATCGCATAGGGCCTCACGTTGGTGTAACTGCTGTAAGCGCTGCTTGTATAACCTCCAGTTGGCCAAAAATTGGGGGAAGTGGCTACGAACTCCGGCTGCCGGCAGAGATTAGAAGGAAAAGGCTGGTAACCCACGAACGAATGCTGCTTTAGGATTTCGAATTGAGAAGTGGGCGGTGTAAAATTGTGGATGTATGGTGGAGAGTTCTGAAATGGTGACCGATATGAAGTTTGCAATGGGTTCTCCGGTTCCCGTTTCAAGGTCCAGAAATTTAGAGATCCCAAATTCTCGCCACCTAAATTGCGGACAGAATTTATCAAATTCAGCTCCATTCTATCATAACTCTCGTTAATATTTGAGATTTGTGAATTCAATTTCTCTACAAGTTCTCTTATCTTCTCCATATCCGATGTCATCTTCAAAATTACCCAAAGAGGAAGGATGATTGCTCTGATACCACTGTTATGAATATTTAATTTTAGAGGAAGAAAAATCTAACTAAAGCTAAGCTAAGCTAAGAAGAGAAGAAAATAATGCAATAAGATAAAAGGGTTTTTCATTCCCCTTCAAAATGTGCTACTGCTTAGTACATATAGCTCTAGACGTGACCAAAAGACCAAAGGGCTAAAAGGAAATAAGGAAAACTTACAAGGGGTATAAAATAATAAGGCAATCTAGCTAAATGGACTCAAATGCAAGAAATAAAACTTGTTAACTAATCAGCCGACCCCTCTCACTAACTTCACAATATAACTTTGCAAGCCCATTGTACAAGCTCCAGTAGTAGCTCCAACCTCTTCCATTTTAAATTGTATCAGAATACCCAAATTGCTAGAAGACAAAGGGAGAAAAAGAAATTGGTCATAATTTAAGGATCCCATAATCTTTCAATTGATGCCAAATACATAAG